AAATAGAAAATACTTGGAGGATCATTTATTCTGCCGCACCCGTTAATCAAAAATGTGGACTTATTTTTATTATTTAGTTAATCTGAAAAAAACGACAAGAAATAGCCAAGCTAAATATGAATAATGAATTTTCAGTGAGTATTATGTACAAAACGTTCTGGCTATGTGTGAGATGATCGATTTTATTTGCGGGCGAACGTTTCGGCGGGCACTGATTGGTCAGATCAAGGGCATTGGCAGCTCTTGATAGTTCTTAAGAAAACTGCCGCTAAATATGCTCGTTGTGCTTCTAACTTACAAAAGTCGAGAAAAAAACCGATAATACGCGTGATAGGCGATCTATAATTCACCATTCCGATTGCATAATCAAAGCTAGGAGTATATCCATGTGTTGACAGCGATTGATTTTCTATTATCATGATTATTCTTCATTGACTTTAACTGATGATAAAATATTTGTGAAAATTTAGTCCAGAAGGCATGGTACTTCTTCTTAAATCATATGGTAAGTGCATTTCAATCATCGGTCAGAAAATTGCGTTTCGCAATAGAACTCAGCCGTTCGTTTCAAGCTTTTGGCTTCGTTATTGATGTTAATCAAGATTTTTGTCTTGTTTCTTATTTGAATGTAAAAGCAAGATATTACATATACGTGCCTTAGTGTTTTTATTGTTGGTAATAAAAAATGTGTTTTTATTCTATTATTTTCAAATAAATCATCACGGATGAACTATTTCCTCTCATCCTTTGCTTACAAAAACATGGTTTTTTATTCTCGCTCACTGTTGTTCTATTGAAATAATGTCAACAAGGGGTATTACTATATAGGACAGATCAAAACCATGCTATAATACCTTGGTTTTACTTTTTATACAATAAAAATGAATAGTTAAACACAATACTAATTTGTTTTTGTTCACCTTATTCCAGTGCATTCGTATACTATAAACGTCAATGTGAATATACAATCACGAGAATGATGGTGACAGGTTAGATGGATAGATATGAAACGAATCAAGGACTAAAATGTCACATTGATTTCTATAAAATCGTTAGAAAATCACAAATTATCAAAAATCAATAGGGATTTTTCTCATTGCATAAAATCTACATCGATCTTTTATCTAGAAATTCAAGGCGATTTTCTACTTTCTAGAAAATGCTGATTTTCTCCTTCGGTATAATATACGTGACGATATTATAGCTGGTTTAAAATCACCCATGATTTTCTAGGTCAATTTTCTATAAAGTAGAAAATAAAATTTTTTTACAGTGCAGTACCGTTTATTTCAGAATAAGCTACTCTTTATTTTATTTACTTTTTTCTTACAAATGAAGAAACCAATAGGGGTCCATGGTGAGTCTCCTTCCCAAGGTAACTGAGATCATCTTCAATATTACCATACTGTTGTCTACATGTGAATGGATCATTTAATCGTGCCTGTCCAGCTCTAAAGCAACTTAATCTTTATTTACACAATTTATCGGATATACCTACACCCGGGCTTATTACCATGTTAGAATATTTTGTATTCGTCTGATAGCACTTTGTGTGGCCAGCGCAGCATAATATTGGCTAATTGAAGCCCTTTCAATTCTGCATTTTTCTAAATACAAACTATTCCTAAACTTCTATTTGTGAAAGAAACTATGATTTTTTTTATATAATCAATCACTATGGATAAAAATAGAGATATCGATCCAGTATTTAGCCAATAAATCTATGAGGTCAACCTTTTAAAACAAAATATTGTTGTTCATTTTGAAGCAAAGGACATTCTGTGTCTCTCGATACATAAAACATTCCGATAAAACCGATACCCGTCGTTTAGTCAACCCGCGATATATTATCAAAATTGCTGAACGCAATTGAAACTGATGAATACGAATAATTTATCGCAGTCTTTATCTAGTTGCAGCATCTTTTACTCCTCATGCCACATTTATCGAACTTCACCGTCTATCACCTCATGATGCATCTGGACACATATGAATGACGTACGTTAACTGATCTCTACGCTGAACGTGGTACTACTCCAAGGAGATTCTGTGATCTCGCAGGAATACCAATCGAATCGTTCAACGATATCTACTCTACGTTTCTCCACTTCAGTACTCACAGAATAAAAACACTCCATAAACGAGCCCACTCAAATCGAGTGGAAGCAAACGTCCTTCTCCTACTCCTGATATGACTCTGATCTTACACGTATTCGTTGCTAAGCCTAATATTCAAAATTTCAAGAGACAAAATCTCACGACTACGAATCTTTTTTTCCTATGCTGACACAAACCCTATGTTCAATTCGGCGCATGGAGCAATAGAAAATTGCTTGTGTGCAACGAGTGGTCGATCTTCATCTTTTGTCTCCCAAACGACTAAAGTCCAAAATTTGTTCCACTTTTTAAAACAAAGTTTTGGAGAAAAGGTACACATTTTCGCTGATGGACCTGTTCTTTGAAAAGGTGTACTCTTAGAAGCTTTCTGGCTAGTCTTGTTCCGATGCATATCCATCTATACCCTAAGAAGGGAAAATCTTTTTTTATGAAATTGAATTGTTTCTGTCTTCACTCTTAGAACGTCATCAAAGACTCGATTACAGCGACAAAAGTAAAACTCGTTGTCTTGAAACGATTTTGATTATATCAACTGATTGAAAAATTATTTTCTCCAAATCCGAGTAAAAGTCTACAGAGATCACTATTCTCTATCAAGTGCCGTTAGCTTGTGTACTGCCGTTTTGGCAGATGTTAGAGATAATATTTTCTTACGTAGTTAATGTGTTGTGTCTTGGTTTCTTCGTTTGTATAGAAGAAAGTAAAGAAAATAATAGAGTAATTCTGAAATAAACAGTACTGAGTGATTGTCAGAGTTTTGTATCGACTAAAAATTGCGGTTCCCGGACCTAATCTATCCAAAAGCAATTTCAAGCCCACGAACTCGAAATTCCAGTGCAGTTCAAGTTCATCCTCAAACGAAAAGGTGCGATGATGATGATCATTAAGCCAAGTAAAGTCTAGGAGTCTCTATCTACTTCGGACCAGTCTATCCTACTCCATCCCAAAAAATAGTTTACTCCAATCCATACAGAATTCTGGTGGCTGTAAATGTCGGACAACCATCTGCTTATAAAGACACTGAAAGAAAAGCATGGAGTAAAACCGAACATTTCTTTCCTCCTCACGTCTTTTTTTCTACCGTTTTCGCATACATGAGAACGAAAACGTTATTTTTCGTCATTTTGACGAAAGGAAGCACTTTTTTTTCCTTGGACGTTAGATCGTTTATATGTTTCTATTTTTCTATCTTCTGTCTAAAACACAGAAAAGAAAGCAACAAAGACGTACAATGTGAATGTAGCCTAACATGCGACTACTTACTTGCTGTGATTATAATATCTTGTTTACTCTCCATCGTTTATCACTTTTTGTTTTTCGTTTCTGTGAATAAATGTATACAAATATAGAACGCACTTGAAGCGATTCAAGCGGTAACAATTTTGACGGCATCCCTACTATGCAGCAGTAATATTCATCCACAAAAGTCGAGAAAAAACCGATAATACGCATGATAGACGATCTATAAGTCACTCTCTTCAATCACATAATAAAAGCTACGGGTATATCCAATTTCAACAGGAATAGTTAATGAAAGTATTGTTAAAGCAGAAAAGCAAACGTATGTCGACTGTTTTAATAGTAATTTCTTATCGGCTATAAATAATCAACTTTCAGGAACAGTATATAAATACAAACATACGCCTGGAGAATGTATCATGAGAACCCATCAGCTGAGACAATGTCTGTTGCGCTGCCATCATCAACTACTACGTATGTAACTCGTTAGCAAAAGTAGGGATTAAGTAATTAATATTGTAATTTCTTCTAGAAAAAATCGTAGATGGCTTTCCGCAGTTCCACTGATTGCTTTAAGCTGTCTCGGGGTATTATGTTTGCTATTAGCAGCAACTATTGTTTTAGCCTTGATACCTGTGTATCTACCAAAACGTGCTGGTGGAACAGTGGCAGTTCAAGCTAATCAAAGTAAGTTAGATACTACATATATCCTATGATGGATTGTAATCATTCCGAAAGATTTGCGTGTCTCCTAGAGGCGTTCGGCTCACCAACTGATATTGTAGAACACATCGAAAAACAGGACGAGCAGTGTTCAAGTTATATCTCTTCATAAAAAGGCTGATTATGTCTAGTTTTCTGATGTCGTTTCTAAAGACCTGCAGTACAAGAAGCCTTTTTTCAGCCCTCATTTTTTTTCTAATTAGTCACCTGTTTGTCTCGGCTAATATGTGTTCACCATCCGCTGCAACTATTACTTACTACAGTTTTACCAGAACGGCAAAGTATAGGCTGAAAGGCAAGAATGATTTTTGTCCTAAAAATGGTATGTTTTCTGCTGAGCACTTACAGTTTCTTGCTAATCATAAAGTCGGCTTCACCATCACTACTATTGATGACTAGGAAACATATAACCACCTCCAACCTTTTCAAATTCTTGGCGGAGAATCGAGTGATTGAAAATTGAAACGTAATATTCAATCTGTCGGAACTTTATACTTGTATCCTGGGAAAAAGTCTGAAATAATACGACTAATGATATAGTGTTCTTTGAAGTCATTCGTGTTCAGGTTGCCCAACTCTATCATTATTCAAAGAAGTTCTTTCCTCTGCTAGATACTTCTAACACATTTTTCAGTTTTACTGCTCAGACTATTAAGTGAAAATTATTTTATCTCACAAACAAATTTCCTTCAAACTTTAGCATTTGATTTAAACAGACCTAACTTTGCTCGACGCATCTAGATGAGTGCTGATGTGAACTGATCTTTTCTAACAGAGAGAGTGTGACTTTTACTGAGCGGATGTTGTGAAAAAGGACCATTTTTAAAAAGCTAGTTTTGCGAATAAGGCGTTTCTGTAAAATTCTGAGATTGCAGTCATTATCAACAGAGTGAATTGTAT